ATCAATACTAAAAACAAATATGACAAATTTACTCTATGTGTATTCTTCGAAAAGAGTTATATCCCTTTTCTGGACCATACCACTTTATAATAGGGGTGATTACATTACGCGTGTATAGTATACAGTTGTACGAAAACAATACCCCTATTACATTATGGTATAGTCTAAACACGGACATCACGTTTATGGGAAATTAGAGTAACGCACGTTGGTAAACGACCATGTTTTTTATGAATTGTGAAAACGTGGTGGACATTGGCGACTTTCAAAGTTAAACTGGAATAAGTGAAATATGGGTATAAGCGTATTTTGTTATCATCGCAATGATGGTCGTCTAGCATCGGTAAGTTTCTTTCAATTTTACAAAATTATGGGGGTGGGGGTGGGGGTTGGGGTTGTGATTCATAGAAATTTGTTTATTTTTTCTTTGCGAAAACAGTCCGCTTGCGACCATTCAGTTGATCGCAGTTCCTTGAAATCGGATAATTTATCGATAGTCTTCGCCAATTGTACGCACGTTGCTAGAAAAATAGCTCAGTTGAGTTTTGTCATACACGCCGTTGGCAGGAGATATTTACCACGCGTGACAAACAGCTCAAAGCCATTCATACGCATATTTGCCACGCGTGGTACAAAATGATGTCATGCAAAAAAATATTTATTATGTAAAACAAATCGAATTCGCCGGTTATGTGACAAAGATTCAACTGTCCTGTGAAGAATTGAAAATATCCATGGCCTCTGTCAGTGCTTTCGAGATGAAGCTTAGCATAGACATCCGGTTTAAAAGTGAAATGAAATGGAATTTTACTTCCTACCTGTTTGCTATTATATCTACCAGTATGCGTCTTACTCACCGAGACTCCTCCCCCTACTTCCTTTGATTTGAGTGTGCTTAGTGAGTGGGCCACACCCTCACCTCCTCTCCCCCGACCGGTGGAAGGTTTTCTTTTTAAGTGTAATTTAAGCCCTCTAAATACTGAAAATTCATATCAAGCCATCTGTAGTCCGTTGGTCTCAAGGGGCTTCGGCCTTTAGGGTCTTGCCTCGGAGAGACACCTGTTATTGCCCCCACCCTCTACGTGTTGAAGAACGTTATCTCACCTGCCGATCATTCAGAATGCCGCCAGCAATAATATCTGTTTTTAAAGGGCTATCATCCGTAAGTAAAACGTAAACAGCAAAAATTCGGGTTTTGATTTCTCGAGGTAAAACCTGGGGAACTGGAAAAAAAATACAGAATTTTTGCCATTGAAATTTTCACAGATGGAAGTCGTTCTATCAGTGTCCCTGATACACATAAAAAATTAAAAAAACCTCTTTACAATCTCTTTAACAAGAACCACAGACGTCTGATTGAAAATTAGAATGATGTAAATGGATGCTATCAGTGTCCCTGATACACATAAAAAATTTAGAAAACCTCTTTACAATCTCTTTAACAAGAACCACAGACATCTGATTGAAAATTAGAATGATGTAAATTGATACTATCAGTGTCCCTGATACACATAAAAAATTTAGAAAACCTCTTTACAATCTCTTTAACAAGAACCACAGACATCTGATTGAAAATTAGAATGATGTAAATTGATGCTATCAGTGTCCCTGATACACATAAAAAATTTAGAAAACCTCTTTACAATCTCTTTACCAAGAACCACAGACGTCTGATTGAAAATTAGAATGATGTAAATTGATGCTATCAGTGTCTCTGATACATATAAAAAATGTAGAAAACCTCTTTACAATCTCTTTAACAAGAACCACAGACGTCTGATTGAAAATTAGAATGATGTAAATTGATGATATCAGTGTCTCTGATACACATAAAAACTCAAGAAAACCTCTTTACAATCTCTTCAAATCGATCTTACCTGTCCATTAAAATCAATATTCGCCCAGGTATAACCCTCGGCTGTTTGTTGCTGGCCTTTGTAGGGTACACAATTCGAGGCATGCATACTGCCTAGCAACCCATGACTGGTTCCTGGACCATTCCTTACGTGGAGCTCAAACGTAGCGCAGGCACAACTCGCAGCCCGACTTGGTGAAAGGAACAAACCAAAAACTACCAGGAACTGAATCTGTGAATAAATTTGTAATTTTTAATGTTGCTTTAAAGGGACAGATGCGCCGTTTTGCGGGGTTGATTTGGGTCTTGAATATATATGTAAATAGTCTTCAGTAGTAAAAAGATCGCATAATTTCTTAAAAAATATCTCAAACTAGGAATTTTACTCACTATTTCTAAAGATGTCTTTTCTATATATGACAGTGTCTCTAGAAAAGACGACTCGTCTTTTTTAACTTTCAAATGCAATTAATTCTGGACACACATGGATTTGAAGGCTCAAATTTTTACGGTGAGCTGTGAACACTATTACTGATTGGCTTACTCAAAAAATAATGCAAGTGTAATTCCTTGTACGTCTTGTATCGAGCAATGCATTTGATTGGCTGAATATTTTATGACGTAGAACGCATGTTTCATAACAATTTCGTTAGATCGTGGATCGATAATATTTAAACTTACTAAAATCATGACTCGCTCCAATGGTCTTGAGGAACTAGACTAAAATACACTATATCATTATGTGGGTTATCTTTACGTTTTTTTGGGGAGAAATTCTTATCTTTAAAAATCATGACGAATGGAACTAAATCATATGTAGGACAAAATTTTATATTTTGACCTTAGGTCAATTAAGTACACAAAGGTTAAGGTCATTATCACAAAAGCTGCTAATAATATCTTAATGGCTTTTGCGATAGTGACGTCATAAACCCTTAGTTTAAGTGGAATTGCAGGAACCTCAGACGTCTGATTGAAAATTAGAATGATGTAAATGGATGCTATCATTGTCCTTGATACCAGAGCCTAAATAAAAATGGCGTCACCATAGGAAACCATTGTAGGCCAATCAGAGTGACCAGGCTCGTTTATATAGGCTCTGCTGATACACATAAAAAGTTTAGAAAACTTCTTTACAATCCCTTTAATGCGTCATAATAATATCTAATGGCCTTTGAGATAGCGACGTCATAAACTGTTCCGTTTGTGGAATTGCAGGAACCACAGACGTCAGTGTCCCTGATACACATATTTTTTTTAGAAAACTTCTTTACAATCTCTTTCATAGCTTTATTTAAATTAAGTTATAATAATAATATATATCAAAAATGAAATGAAATAATTTTATAACATAAACAGTCTTGCTTCCTAACTTTTCCTTGTCATTGACCATTCAGACGTCTGTGGTTCCTGCAATTCCACTTAAACTAAGCGTTTGATGACGAAATTACATAAAAGTTCTACTGTTCAAGCACAGAATTATCCAGTTCGCCAGAAATCCAATTCTGTAAAACCAGCGATTTTTTTCTCGTGGCTTTGTTTTCGAGTGATCGTTGAAGTTGGCTTTCTTTTAAAATACTGATACTCTCTTTTTTACTCATGGTTTTTGTCACTTCAAACGAATTTCGTTTTCTATTATAGTAAGAGTTGGTCCATGGGACCTGCGAATTTAAAGTTGGGTTATCCGATTCCACGTTGTATTCGAATAAAGTTCTGATTGAATCCGTTCGACAATTGAACATCGATTTTTTACTGGGGACGCCAAATGGGTGCAAATCATCTGAAAAAAACAAAAAAAAAACATTTTTGATTACAATCTTAGTTATTTTCCGATCGATTTTTTCGTCTCCATTGTAAGCTAACAAATTTTCTAGCCCAGTTGCGTTCTTATGACGTTATGATTAACCAATCAAAGCGTGTCGTTTCTTGATAACGAAGAATAATTATGGGATAGAAAAATGGCTAAATCATCTAAAAAAAAAATGTAACAAAATTGTAAGTCAAACTAGAATCATAGTTATCGATTAGATTATATTTTGTTTCTATTTTCCGATCGATTTTTTCGATTCCATTGTAATCTAACAAATTTTCTAACACAGTTGTGTTCAAATGACGTTATGATTAACCAATCAAAGCGTGTCGTTTCGTGATAACGAAGAAAACTTGTGAGATAGAGAAATGACAGACTATAACTAGGTCATAAATATGTACTTTTATCACACAACAGTTCTGTTCCCGAGTTCATAACACAGGTTCATACATTTCGTATCATATTACATAAGCAATCGTTTAAGATCCTCTATTAATCGGCCAAGTTTGAGAATCTAAATTTTATGTCTATTTTAGGCAGAATTCTGGAAAAAAATGTTTCCTTACCAAGAATACTCCCGTTGTCCATACAGTTCTAAAATAGAAAGAATCAATAAAAATTGAAATGGTAAACTGTAGCGACGTCACACAATTGCTATAATGACGTCATAAAAAAGCTTAGTTTTAGTGGAATTGCAGGAACCACAGACGTCTGATTGAAAATTAGAATGGTGTAAATTGATGCTATCAGTGTCTCTGATAAACATAAAATTTTTTAGAAAACCTCTTTACAATCTCTTTAACAAGAACCACAGACATCTGATTGAAAATTAGAATGATGTAAATTGATGCTATCAGTGTCTCTGATACACATAAAAAATTTACAAAACCTCTTTACAATCTCTATAACAAGAACCACAGACGTCTGATTGAAAATTAGAATGGTGTAAATTGATGCTATCAGTGTCCCTGATACATATAAAAAATTAAGAAAACCTCTTTACAATCTCTTAAACAAGAACCACAGACGTCTGATTGAAAATTAGAATGATGTAAATTGATGCTATCAGTGTCTCTGATACACCTACAAAATTCACAATCCCTTTAATCTATCAGTATTATGGGATAGAAATATTCTAAACTTACCTGCATGACTTCGAGATTGTTCATCATGGCTTCCGTGTTTCCCACATTATC